TTCCCTTCCTCCCAAGTCTTTTCACAATTTATGATGTTAGCATAACTCGACCTTGCAGCCTGGCCTTGTTTGCTTAGCAGATGTTGGCTATCTTGCCCCATCCTGCCAAGCGGCTGCCTTTCATGAAACACTGTAACAATGAGAGTTTTTAGGTTTGGTGAACAAACAATACTGAGCTTGTCACATCTACTGGGCAATTTTCCAAGTTACACTTCTGTGGTCCCGATGCAATTGATCACTTCTGCAATTTTGCCCCGTTGCTAGAGCTCGCCTGCAGTGACACCACGGTGCTTAGACCGGTGACCTTCATAATCTGCTTTCTGGATGCAGTCTTCCTGTTTGTCATCACATTGGTATCCTACACCTGCATCATAGCTGCGATGCTGAGGATCCCGACCACCATGGGGACCTTCACCTACTTTTCCCTCCCTTTTGTTAACTTGGCTCTCAGAATTCATGCGGAATAGAATCATAGAATCATGGAATCGTTTAGGTTGGAAAAGACCTTGAAGATCATCGACTCCAACTGTTAACCAAGTCCACCACTAAACCATGGCCCTGAGCACCACCTCTACATGTCTTTTCAATACCTCCAGGGATGGTGACTCAACCACTTCCCGGGCAGACTCTCCCAATGCTTGATAATCCTTTCAGTCAATACATTTTTCCTAATATCTAATCTAACCCTCCCCTGGTGCAACTTGAGGCCATTTCCTCTTGTCCTATGGCTTGTTACTTGGGAGAAAAGACAGACACCCACATGGCTACAACATCCTCTCAGGGAGCTGTAGAGAGCAATAAGGTCTCCCCTCAGCCTCCTTTTTTCCAGGCTAAACAACGCCGGTTCCCACAGACGCACTGAATCTGCTTTGCCACTTTGAAACTGTCTCTTTGAAAAATTAGCTCAGGATACTTTTTTACTCTTTGATTTAGCCCAAAGTAATGTGCTGCATTCAAGTGAGTTTCCATATCTGGAGAAGCTTTGCACAATGTCTGCTCAAAGAGGAGAAATAGCTCAGCCTGCACTTGGAGATGGGTGAAGCTGGGGGGGATAAATGTGTTGCTTCAGACAATATTTGGGATGCATACATTACAAAAAGTTTGTGAAGGTGAATGGGCATGAAAGAAACGGAAAACTGGCCATCGAGACTATGATCAGCTGTGACTGTGGAGCTCAAACCTGAAAACCTTCAAACATGGAGATCAAAGATCCTCTGGGAGGGTCCGACTGCAGTGCAGCACCACCCTCCTACTCAGTTTTTCCTCTTATCTCCTCCAGATCATTATAAACATGTCAAACGTGGCAGGTTACGGTATCAACCCCTGCAGGACCCTACTGGCGAGATACCTCCAGGCACAGTACCACACAGGAATCACATGCCTCCCAGCCCAGCAGTCCAGCTGGTTTTTTACCCACCTCCGTATCTACTCATGCAGACCATACTGTCCTCAGAAACAAGGTAGGGGAGATGCTTGATGCCTTTCTGGCTTCCCAGTAAAAGTTACG